CTCAAAGGAATAAAAGCAGCAAAGGGAGTGTTTGGAATTTCTCCCAATAAAATTATTACTCCATATACTATGAATCAAATTGATGAGTTAGCTAATGAGTTAAATACTTGGGCAATAATCATGTGTAAATCTAATGTTTCATTTGATAACCACTTACCATCTAATCCTTTATTGTCTTTTTGGTCATTGCATCCTGTAATTTTTCCAAAAATGACAAGAAAAACACCTATCATGAATGCTCCAAATATATTCACTGATGGGTCAAATAATGGTACAGCAGCAGTAGTTACCCCTGATCAAACTTTTACATTTTTAGTACCCAAACAATCAGCTCAAAAGGTAGAGCTTAATGCAGTTTTACAAGCTTTTGTGATGTTTAAAGATTCTGTATTTAATTTATTTTCTGATAGTCAGTATGTAGTTAATGCTATAGTATCTCTTGAAGATGCTGGTAGGATTTCCCCTTCTTCTACTGTTTTCTCTTTGCTTTCCACTATACAAAGTCTAATCTGGGACAGAAAAGATCCATTCTTTATAGGACATATCAGGGCACATACAGGATTGCCTGGAGCCCTTAGTTTGGGCAATGATTTAGCAGATAAAACTACACATGACATACATATTTTCTCTACACTAGAAGAAGCTATAAATTTTCATAAAAAGTTCCATGTCAATGCTAATACTTTACAAAAGCGTTTTAAAATAACTAAGGAACAAGCTAGACAAATAATAAAACAATGTCAAAATTGTGTGACCTTTTTACCACAAGTTAATCTTGGAGTCAATCCTAGAGGATTGATACCTAACCATATTTGGCAGATGGACGTCACACACTTGCCAGAATTTGGAAAATTAAAATATTTGCATGTTACAGTTGATACTTCTTCTGGATTTTTGATGGGCTCCCTTCATGCCGGAGAAAAAACTAAAGATGTTATAGCTCATTGCTTACAAAATTTTGCCACTGTGGGTGTTCCAAAACAGTTAAAAACAGATAATGCCCCTGGTTATACTTCTACCTCTTTTAAACAATTTTGCTCAACATTTGGCATTACTCATATAACAGGAATCCCATACAATCCACAGGGACAAGGCATAGTTGAAAGAGCTCATCAAACTATTAAAATGTACTTATTAAAGCAAAAAGAAGGAATTGGGAAGGGGTATATATTCCCCAAAGATAAACTTAAAATAACCCTTTTTACTCTAAACTTTTTAAATTTGGATTCATCAGGACTTAGTGCTGCGGAAAGGCATATGTGTCCAAAAAATGTACATAAGCCCAAGGTACTTTGGAAGGATATTCTAACAGGACAATGGAAAGGTCCTGACCCAGTAATTGTCTGGAGTCGAGGGTCTGTTTGTGTGTTTCCACAGGGAGAACAGCAGCCGATTTGGATTCCAGAGAGATTAACCAAGGTCCTGACCCAGTGATTGTCTGGAGTCGGGGGTCTGTTTATGTGTTTCCACAGGGAGAACAGCAGCCGATTTGGATTCCAGAAAGATTAACTAAAGCGATTTCTACAGACCAAAAAGAAGATGATTTGGCTCAAATCCATAACAACTGATATCCAAAACTCCAGTTTGGCTATTCTTACATCTGCAACAGAACCAGGATGCTTTTTTCAATATCTATTTTATTATTGCCCTTTGCCATATCATGAAGTTCTATTTTGTTTTTTGAGCTCATACAGACCTAGGTTAATGTTTTGCTGATCAGTTCTATTTTTTGACTATAGAGTTTTTAAGCATTGCAATGGAGATTTCACCTGTAAAAAGTTATAAGGCCTTTACTATAATGTTATGTGTTGTATGTATTATATTATGTGTGCACACTTGTGTTTTGTGTTATATGTTTGAATGTACGTATGTCCATATATCATATATGATGAGCGCTCATGATAAAATGGATCCAAATATTTTTTTTTCACGTGATTTATATGGTTTAATTTAAATTGGGTAAACAACTGTTGAGGATTGTTTTAATATGTAAACAAAAAGAAGGTTAACAGATCTGTTTGTTTACTTTTACCTTTCCTTTTCATTATATTTAATAATTCTCTTAAAGATAATGTAAATTGTTAAGAAAATTGTTTTCTTTTAGTGCCTTCTGTAGTGTTACATAATTTTTTCTTTAGCCATTATTGCCAGAATTCCTATCTTCATCCCAGTGCCGGTGAAGACAATGTAAATTGTTAAGAAAATTGTTTTCTTTTAGTGCCTTCTGGAATGTTACATAATTTTTTCTTTAGCCATTATTGCCAGAATTCCTATCTTCATCCCAGTGCTGGTGAAGTGAAAGATAAAACCAATCTACAGCTTCTACAATAGCCATCACTGAACTGCTTGCAGAACTTGCCTGGACACATTGTGAGCTCACCTGTATGCATTGTGAACTATCTGTTGGTACAGCGAATTGTGGTAGTGCTGGAGTATTTTTGCTGATGGTGTCACCGGTGGTACAATTTTTCAAAGGAGCCCTCAATTGGCTTAATGTCATGGCATTTTGCATCCTCCTCTACTAGTGATGGTCTAAAATTTGGGGGCCAACAGAGGTGAGGCAAAGAACCTCACCCCCCCACAGGTGCAAAGGCCTATCCACAAGTATGGCTGTATGCTGGACCGGTAGTCAGTGACGGGTATGATCCAATTGCAGTGGTACCAACCTAAGACAGGAGGCTGACGCCTAGAGGTCAGTTCATCCGATGACGGGTAAGGACCATATGTTGAATTGGACTGCCTAACAGGCACGGTCCCTAAGCCACATGCTTGTTGTTTAAACAGAGAGGGGGAGATGTTGAGAGCCACAGCCAAAGGGGCCCCAGCAAACTTCCAGCTGCCAGCAAACTTCCAGCTGCTGGCTGATGATTGGCTCACAGCGGCCCCAGCAACATCTAGCTGATTGGCTCCTCTGCGGTGATGCTCATTGGACTGTTTCCCTGCCCTTTCAGACCACGGAGCTGCTCATTGGGGGACTTTTTTGGCTCCGCCCACGTGACCCAGCCAATCGGCCTCAAGAGCAGGAGGATTGTGGGAGGTGGGGAGAAGCTTGTGTGGGAGAGAGAGGCTTGGGGAAAGCCGGTGGTGGCAGTTGAGGCTCTGAGGGTTTTTCCTGAGAGACTATTTTGTTTGTCGTGTGTGGTTCTAAAAATAAAGTTAGTTTCTTTTGACAAGTGGCTCCTGATTGTGCCCAGCCAGACTGCGGCATTTTCCAAGCATATATTTTTAAATAAAAGAAACAGGGCTAGAAGTGTAGCTCAGTGGTAGAGCATGTGCATAGCAGTCATAGCAATTATAAGGTCCTGGATTTGATCCTAGATTCCAGTGATTATCAGTTGAGAGATATGGGACATGCCTTCCTAGAGGGAGGTGTCAGAGTCATCTGGAAGTTTTTGAGGTCTTTTTAAATATTTATTTTTTAGTTTTAGGTGGATACAATATCTTTATTTTATATTTATGTGGTACTGAGGATTGAACCCAGTACAGTGCCTCATGCATGCTAGGTGAGCACTCTACCCCTGAGCCACAACCCCAGCCCTCATCTGGAAGTTTTTTTCAGATTTTGCCCTGCCTCCATTCCAGTTTGAAAATTACTGCCACAGTCAGCCCCTAGGGTTCTGATGGGAAAGCGTTTTATTCCCCAGTAGTATCAGAGTAGAAAAATGTGAGGATCATGGGCGGGGGTTGGGGCTCAGTGGTAGAGCATTTGCCTAGCATGTGTGAGACACTGTGTTTGATTCTCAGCACTGCATATAAATAAATAAAATAAAGTTCCATTGACAACTAAAAAATAATTTAAAGAATGTGAGGATCATTCAAGTTTACACACACACACACGTTCACACTACTATAATTTATGAATAATTTTATAAAGTGATTCAAATCTGAACAAGTAACTGAGTTGAAGTTTTCTGGTTTTATTATATTTTAGATAAAATTTTTGTCAAAAAAAAAAAACCGAGTCCTTGAATTGTACTGTTTCTATTATCTCAATGATGGAGATTAGGATTTAGAGCTACTCTGGTCCTTAATTAGAAAATTATTTTGCTAGGTTAGTAATTTTTTTTCCTCTTAAAAGTATCTGCAGAGCTATTTGTTTTGGCTGGGTTCCATTAGGTGCCTCAGTGCTTTAAGTTTTCCTCCTCTTTGTTTGGTGCCCTCCATCTTTTTGCCTCCTGTTGCTGGTCTCCTCTATCACCATCATAGTGACAAACTGTTTCTGATTTAAGGCCCAGTGTCATTTTCTAAGACATTCAATACTGTGATAAGTTTAAGAAAATAAATACTTCCATAATAAAAGGACATCTGACATAAAAACTATTTTTGATTTTCCCTATTGTAGCACAATACAGAGATTTTAATAGTAGTAGTCCACATGCTCACACAACATGTTGTCTGTGAGAACCCTTGAGAATCTTGATTTCATCAGGAGAGGGGAACTCTAATAATGTCTGGCACTTCAGTTCCCAAACTCTGGGTCTCAGCTTCCCTTACTTTCTTCCCTTGAGCCACAGCACCTCCAGTTCCTCTTAATATGTTTCTTTCTTTTTCCACATTTTTTCTTTTTGAGACTTAAATGAAAGGTAAGTTATGTGAATCTTCTAGTAAATATTATTCCAAATGAAATTTATTCTCAGAATGTTTTTAGAGTAACGTTTATGTGTTAAGTCAATATGTTAGACCCTGGATTTAGCAGTGATGAACAAGATCAGACATGTATTGGCTTGTTGAGGCTTAGTCTGGGTTGAAAGAAAGTGAAACTAATTAATCAGAAGTAAAATGAAAAATAACTGTAACCACTAACCACAATTGAGAAGAATCAACACTGAATCCATATCCTCATCCACATATAGTCCTTATTCAGATATCCCTTTTGAACTATCAATTTTGAAGAAAATCACACTATGAAATCTTTTTTAGGAGTGTGAGGTGTTCTCTCTTATAGAAAAAAGTGAGTATGTTTACTGTTGGCTTACTCTCGGTTTTTCTTTGTGACTTAGCTTCTTACATCCGTGTTTGAAAATAGCATCAAGACCTTTGGAGTAATTGAGAGTGACCCTTTTGACTGGGAGAAATCTGGAACTGATGGCTCCCTAACCACCACCACCACTTCTACCACCCCTCAGTTGCACACCCGACTGACTCCTGCTGCAATTGGGTATGTCCTAAATGTTCTGTTTAGTGGTATCTTTTCTGGATGCATTGTAGTCACAGAAATTTCCTTTAGTTTTATCCAGATTTCTTCAAATGATCAAATGCTAAGACATAGGGGAAAACCTATGGGTTTCCTTGAATTAACCTTGCTTTTATCACAACAGGACTGGGGGGTGTAGCTCACGGGTAAAGCCCTTGATTAGCATATATAAGACAATGGGTTCAATCCCTAGCACCACAAAAATGTTAAAATACAAGAATAATGACAGGAAAAGATTAAGAATGAAAAAATACAAATACATGTAATACACAAAACTTGGCATAACTGTATTAATAGCTGACAAAAATAGGCTTTAATATTAACAGAAAAAAAAAACCTCTATTCACTGGGAAGATGTAAGGATTCTAAACTTATATGCCTTTAACTCAAGAGTGAAAAAAAAAACATGAAAAAAATATTTCAGAAAGAGAATGACAATACAACATACCGAAAAATTTCTGATACAATAGGAGCTGTTTTGTTCCTTCTGCTGGTCTTAGGTTCATTTTACTCTTCTTCTTCTAGTGTCTTGAGGTAGAATTTAGATTGATTTAAAATATTGTATCTTTTATAATATGAGCATTTAGTGCTATGAATTTCCCTTTCAGACTGCTTTAGGTATACCCCACATATCTTGATATATTGTAATTTGACTTTCACTGAGTTTGAGGTAATTTTTAATTTTTTTGCACTTGATCAGTGAGCTACATCCCAAGCCAGAGTTCAATGTAATTTTAAACAATTTCCTCTTTGACTCATGGAATATTTGCCTTTGGAATTACTTACCTTAGAAAATACTGGTAGATCATACTCTGAAATGGGAGCTTAGAGAGTATGTGACTTATTGAAGCCAAATTTACAGTGGATTTTCTTCAAAATGAGCCGGGGGGCATTCATTATGTTTCTAAAGAATATATGGCATCCTGGAAAGAATGAGGCACAATTATATCTAACTATATTGGGCTTACATTTAGTGGGAACAAAACATGCAGTATGTTCCCCTTTTGAAAGTAATTTAATTCACATAATATATTAGGAACAGATTATGGTGTATTTCCATGTTCTCGATGTTTGCTTTGAATGCTTTTTCCTCTACATGTATTAAATGAAGTTCCTTTTTTTTTGAGTACCCTGGATTGAACCCAGGGCAGTCCACTGAGACGCATCCTCAGACCTATTTTTATTTTGTTTAGAGACAGGGTCTCACTGAGTTGCTTAGCACCTCGTCTATTACAGAGGCTGGCTTTGAACTCGAGATGCTCCTGTCTCAGCTTCCTGAGCCACTGGGATTACAAGTGTGCATCATCGCACCCAGCTCCTTTTGTTTTTATTTTGTTTTGTTTTTGGTTTGTCTTTTCCCCTTAATCTGCTTCTGTTACATGTTGCCTGTAAGCACAGACTATGTGTTAGACAAGAGTAGGAATGAAGGTCATCAAGTCAGAAGGAGCATGTCCTTGAAAAATCACTGGTCTTCCCATGAGTATAAGAAGTACTTGTCACCAAGACAGAGTATATAACTGTTACCCTTAAAGTGATTTTCTGAGAGGATGCTTATTTTGCTGCTCACAATGATTATACCTGTTAGTATAATCTATTAAACACTATATTTTCCTACACTTAGATATTCTAGATCACTTGTAAGAAAAGCTTTCTTTTGTGTGTTAAATACTGTGTTCAGTCAGCAATATTTTTAAAAAACCAAATCAGTATTTATAATTATAGAACAGTAGAGCTGGCAGAGGCCTTTTTACTTAATGACTAATAATTAAGAACTACAAAACCTCTTGTGGACCAGGAGTCTCAGGGTCAGTTGACACGGAATTACTTTGAAAGGAATATATAGAAAATACCAATTAATATTTTCTATTTTTCCTATGCAAAACTGAACTATACAATTGCATAATTTCAGTTTCTTCTATAGGACAAAGATTTTTTTCCCCTCATCTTTGTATTGTAGGACCTTGCCTGTAGTGGTGCTTAGTACAAAGTCTGTAAATGAAAAAGCAGTGCACATTTCATTCTATAAAAAATAACATAAGTTTAACCCCTATTTATTTCCTTATTACCCTTAATATTTCCCTATTTGTAATTGTTTTAATTCTCTAAGAAAATGGGTAAAGAATAGAAAATCTTATTATAATTGATGAAGACTTCTTGGAAAATAGTCCAAATGTTTCTTAAAATGATTGGTAAATTAGTGTATTAGAATTTGCACTTAAAAACAGGTTGAAATTTTTGAATTCTCATAATTTAGAAATTTATTTTGTACAGTTGACATGACCTGAATTTTCAAGTTTTTTTCTAACTTTCTTAATGATATATGGATTTGATCATTTAAATCTAGAAATAAGATAAAAGATAGACTCATAGTAATTTTTTATTCTGGTCTTTTAAAGTTCTACGATTTTTTTCTCCCCTTGCTTTTAGAATTGCAAATGCCACTCCCATCCCAGGAGACTTGCTTCGAGAAAATACGGATGAGGTGTTTCCAGATGAACAGCTTAGTGATGGGGAGAATGGCATTCCTGTTGGTGTGTCACCAGATAAGTTGCCTGGATCTTTGGGACACCCTCGTCCCCAGGAAAAGGATGTCTGGGAAGAGATGGATGCCAACAAAAATAAGATAAAACTTGGAATTTGTAAGGTGTGTGTTTCTTGCATAGGAAGTAATATCTTTCTAAGTACTCATTATTTATTTCCTATTGTTGCACCAAAGTATCATGATTCTCAATTTTGAATGAGAAGTAGACAGAATGTAGTTTTTTTATTTTTTAAATATTTGTAATTGCAGCATTTTGGTTAATTTGTCCCATAAAACTCATAGATATTTTATGGAAAAGGTAAAGGTATTTTAAAAAGTAACCAGACTGGGTGTGGTTGTATATTTTTGTAATCTCAGCATCTTGGGAGGCTCGTTTAATCCCTAGTACTACCAAAAAAGAAAAGTATTTGTTTTCGTTTTATTTTTTTCAAAATAGTATAGGCTGGATACAATGTTTTTGATTGATAGTTAATTTTTCTCTTGCTTTAGTTGTTGATATTTAAAAGTCAGCTGTCATTCTATTTGTTTGTTTCCCTATAGGTAATCAATTCTCCCTCAACTCCCCCACCCATATTTTTCCTTTGCAGCTACTTTTTAGCTCTTTGTGATGATCTGCATTTTAACTATAATGTGTCTAGTCATGTGTTGTCTTGCTTGGGAAAACAAGCAAGATTGTTTCTTGAATATTTTGACTCATATTTTATATCAGTTCTGGGAAATATACAGTCAACTATCCTCTACTAAATATTGCTAGCTCTTCATTGGTTCTCTCTGAGGACTCCAATTAAACATATTTTTTGTATCTTGTATATATTTTTTCCTTATTTTTCTTTTCCTGATCATGCTGTGCTTCATTCTTGATAATTTCTTTTGTGTTTTCCAGTTCACTAATTAGTAACTCCAACTCTTTCTTTCTTGTGGTGAGGAGGGAGTGAAATAATCATTTAATTTCTTTATTGATTTTTATAAAATTACCTTTATTTGTTCAAACATTTGTTCATGGCTCTTCTATATATTGTGTCTTAACAAACAAGTTTGATATCTAACATCTTTGTGAGTTTAAATGTTGTGTTGCCTAATTGTTTCTGCTGACTTAGGCATGGTGGCATACTTTTTCTGACTACTTTTAATTTGCTGCTCATTAAATAATTGATGGGAACCCTACAGTCCCAAATTTGGGTTGGGGAACCTTCCTTCAGAGAAGGTTGGCTTCTGCTGCTGATAATCAAGAGTGTAGGGCACTTTTTCATGGTCTCTAATCAGAATACATGTCTCAGATGTCCCTCACTTACAGTATCCCTGGTGTGAGGCTTGATTTCCCTGGTAATTGTGCTGCTGTAGGCATTTGGCTTTAGACAATGTGTCCCTCTGTGCTAATTCATGCTTGGCCTCTTCTGCTTTGCCCTAGTTGCTTATTTGTTCTAGCCCCAGGTTGTCTTATAGATTTTTTTTTTTTTTTGATGGTGCTGGGGATTGAACCCAGGGCCTTGTGTGTACAAGGCAAGCACTCCACCAACTGAACTATGTCCCTAGCCCAGTAGTTGTTTTTGAGAGGGGGAATGAGTAAGGGGATGGGGGACATATATTTAGTGAGCTTTTCTAACTATATGGCCAGTTATGTCTCAAAGAGAACATTCTTTTCAGGTTTTAGTTTTACTTTAGTGGACTGGGGTCATAAAAGCATCTAGTCATATGTAATACAAAAAGACAAAGTTATTAAACAGTTTTAGACTGTTCATCTTTGTACCCAGAGTATAAACTAAAATAATACTGAAACTGAATATAATTTAAGAAAACTCATAATGAGATAAATCTAACCCATTTATTACTATTATTTTGAAAGGCTTCAGTGATTTCTCTCATGTTATAATACCTGGAATATATTTCATCATTCTATTTTTCTAGGCTGCTACTGAAGAGGAGAACAGCCATGGTCAAGTCAATGGTATTCTCAATGCTCCAAGTCTTGGTTCACCAATTCGAGTCCGCTCAGAGATTACTCAGCCAGATAGGGATGTTCCATTGGTGCGAAAATTACGTTCCATCCACAGCTTTGAGCTGGAAAAACGTCTGACACTGGAACCAAAGCCAGATACTGACAAGTTTCTCGAGGCCTGGTATAAAATAGTTTTTCTTACTTTTTAAAGTATCTAAGGTATCATCATCATCATTATTGTTATTTATTATTTAAAGTCTTTCAAATAAGAAATTCTTGCATTTTGGTAACACCAACTTCATTAATCTCTCATTTTTCATTCATATTTTAGTTATCATCCTTATTTTTTTATTCTTATTAGTTATACATGATAGTAGAATGTATTTTGACATATTATACATATATGGAGTGTAACTTCTCATTCTTCTGGTTGTACATGATATATTAAATTACATTGGTTGTGTAATCATATATGCACATAGGAAAGTTATGTCTGATTCATTCTACTATCTTTCCTATTCCTATTCCCCCTCCCTTCCCTTCGTTCCCTTTTGTCTAATCCAAAATACTTCTATTCTTCCCTAACCATCCCCCTTCCTTATTATGAATTAACATCCATCCACAATATCATAGAAAACATTCATTCAGCCTTTGGTATTTTGGGATTGGCTTATTTCCCTTAACGTGATAATAGTCTCCAGTTCCATCCACTTACTGAAAAACCCCATAATTTCATTCTTCTTTTATGGCTGAGTAATATTCTATTGTGTATATATACCACATTTTCTTTATCCATTCATCTGTGGAAGGGCACCTAAGTTGGTCCTTAATTTAGCTGTTGATCATCTTGATTCTTAATGTGAATTTTCTTCCAATATCATTATAAATTCTGTAGAAAAACCCTTGGCTGTGGTAACTGCTAACATCATAACACTAGGTACAGTCAAATGGATATTTTTGCATTGACCAGTTTGGAAGGTGATCTTCCAAACAGCAGTATAGAGCTGGAGAGAGTATGATAAAGATGACATTTGAAAGGAATGAGAGGAGTGAATACATGAAGAAGGGAAAAAAGTAATTTATATACAGAGGACAGGCATTTTGATTTAGTTAATGCCTTCTCTGTGTAAGGTGTAGTAAGAAAATATATATTTATCATTCTTTCCTTCTAGCACCAACAATCTACCTAAAGAGAAGGGAAGGTTAAACTTTAAAGAGCTATCCATAAATATGGTAATAATGTAATATGTTGTAGGCATGTTATCCCTACAACAAGTTTTGATAACAAAGGCAGAAATGAAACTTTTATTTATTTATTTTTTTAAAGAGAGGAGAGAGAGAGAGAGAGAGAGAGAGAGAGAGAGAGAGAGAGAGAGAGAATTTTTTAATATTTATTTTTTAGTTTTTGGCGAACACAACATCTTTGTTTGTATGTGGTGCTGAGGATCGAACCCGGGTTGCACGCATGCCAGGCGAGCGCGCTACTGCTTGAGCCACATCCCCAGCCCAGAAATGAAACTTTTAAAAGAAGAGTTTGGGATATACTTATGAATTATGGAGGCTTCACTAGTATTAAAACTTACATACCTTTAATAGTAGTTATACCCCTTCAATGGTATATCTTTTATGGTTCCTATTAACAATGAAATATTAGGTTAGAAGGACCATGGATATAACTAGCATGATAGATACTGTGTCCCAAGGCAGTTTCTCCACTGTTGGCCTTGTCCAGTTTCCATTTTAAACAGTCCTCCTGTGCTGCAGTCCAACAGTATCTATGTGCTGTTACTGCTCACATGGCAGTCATTCCATCTTGTGGCTAGTATGATGTAAGCATGTGTTTTTATCTTGATTCGATCAAAAAGATGGACAAGAGTTGGGGCAGTGTTGTAAACAGTTTGAATTGTGGCTGAAATGGAAAGTAAATTCAAAAGTGCAATAAGGATAAAAGCTTAGTTTGGTAAAGTCTAATAAAAGGAAGAAACTAAAAAGTGTGCCATGCTGAGAAAAGAACTCCATCTTCCAAAGCAGGATTATGGCAGGTAGAGAAGAACATTATCAACCCTGTGAAACTTTCCTTATGCTATAATCCATATATTTTCCTCTCATCTTTGTGTGAATAGTTCTCTGTATAGAGATAAGTTTTATAATAAAAGTTTCTCTAGAATAATTAACTTCTTTCCATTTCTTTAAGCTTGGAGAAAATGCAGAAAGACTCAAAGGAATCTGTTCTCCCTGCTCTGCTTCATAAGCCTTGTGTCCCTGTTGTATCCCGTACTGACCACGTCTGGCACTATGATGAAGAATATCTTCCAGATGCCTCCAAACCTGCCTCTGCCAACACTCCTGAGCAGGCAGATGGTGGTGGCAGCAATGGATTTATAGCTGTTAACTTGAGTTCTTGCAAGCAGGAGGTCGATTCCAAAGAATGGGTGATTGTAGACAAGGAACAAGACCTTCAGGATTTCAGAACAAATGAGGCTTTAGGACATAAAACAACTGGAAGCCCTTCTGATGAGGAGCCTGAAGTGCTTCAGGTCTTGGAGGAATCACCTGAAGATGAAAAGCTCCAAATGGGCCCTTGGGCAGAAAACAATCATTTAAAGAAGGAAACCTCAGGTGTGGTCTTGGCGTTTTCTGCAGAGTGCCCTGCCACTGCTGTTTCAGAACAATACACAGATAGACTGGAACTCCCGGTTGGAGCTGCTAGTCAGTTTATTGCAGCAACACCCACAAGTCCAATGGAGGCACAAGCAGAAGGACCCCTTACAGCGGTAAGAGATTTGTTCTGTTGTTATTTGTTATCCACTCAGGTGCTATTAAGAAAGGACTGACAGTTGATCAACTCATATTCTGTGGTAGAGGCCTTAATTTGGCAAATGGGCATAGGCAGTGATATTTGTTTGTGTTAAGTTCTAGAATTGACTATCTAATAAGAAACTTTTATGCTCAAAATAGAGAAATAAAATGCCTTCCTAATTCTCCAAGCAGAGGTTACTGTGGTTGGTCTTTCTCTCTTTCCCAGGACTTTTTCTTGATACGATCAAAGGACTACTTGGTATAGTTGTGCAGGTTCTTCATGGCATAAAGGGGACTAGCCAAGGGAACAAGTTGGAGCTGAAATCCAGCCTAACCTGAGTTGTGACTTATGATTTTTAGTATACCTACAAAATATTTGTAGTTATAAATCCCCTTAAAGACAAGGGAAGGGAAAAAGCAGTTTTTCTTTCTTGTTTGCTTAGATCTTGAGGCTTTAGGTTTTTAAATTTTACCCAACTTAAAAAAAATTTTATTAGTGAATTGTAATTATGCATAGTAATGGGGTTTATTGTGACATATTCATATATTCATATAACATTATTTCCTCCATTTTAGTCCCCAGTATTTCCCCTTTCTTCCTCCCTCTCCCTGACTACTTCGTTTACTCTACTGCTCTCCCGTATATACATATATTTGTATATGTGTTTATTTTAATTGTTGCATTATAATTATACATAAAAGTGGGATTCATTGGAAATAAAGTTGACCAAATTATGCTGTGGGCAGTTTTAGCCACCTTATTAAAAAATATTTTTATTTGTAGATGGACACAATACCTTTATTTTATTTATTTTTATGTGGTGCTGAGGATCAAACCCAGTGCAAGGCAAGTACTGTATAACTGAGCCACAACCCAAGCCCAGTTTTACCCACCTTTATAGCAGAGATTTCTGCCTTCCCTGTTCTTTCCTGCTTTTCCCCTTCCCCTGTCCATCCATCTAGGTACAATATAACAATATCTTGATCATAAATAACTAGCAAATGCATTTAGAGTAAGCAATAGGAATCAAAGAATGAGAGACATCATGTATGGCCTCTCTACTCACATGTTATCAACTATGTACTGTTTTTTTAAAAAATAGAAATATAATTTGGTACATAAAATCAGAGTTTGTTTATGTACCATAAAAATGATAAGTGTTTATACTCATAATTTTCAACAATTATAAAGTAGTATATAAAGATGTCTTTAAAAAAAGATGTCTGTAGTAGAATTTTAATGACCCAATAAAATTTGAATAGTTAAAATTTAATTTTTTAATAAGCAAGGAATATTTCTATAAGTTAATTCTTGGCTATATTAGGAACCACCTATATCTCTTCCAAATAAATTCTTGTCTACAAACATAAGTGAGATATAGCTATTTTGTACTCATATACCATTCATTACTAAGAAAAGCTATTTGGTAAAAATGTCGAGTTTCCCAAAGCTGTTGTTATCATAATAGCACTACAGTCTTGGAAAGGATAATTTCTAAGTTAAAATGAAAGTGGTATTTAGGTTTACAGTTCATTGTTTTCTTGCTATGTGGCTAGTTCTCAGCATGAGAAAACTGAAAAATGAGGTTGCTCTATGTGAACTACTAAATAATGAGACTGATGTACCCATGAGTACACAGGCATTAGTACTAGGCATTAATAAATCTACAAAAATATGAAAGAAATGGAAACATTGAAGTGATTTTCTAAATCTGTAGGAAAGTATATATGAAACAACAAGAGAACAGAAGAAGAAAATGATTGAAATATTACCTTAAATGGAGCTGGGTGTGGGGCACACACCTGTAGTCCCAGCAACTAGGGAGGCTGAGGCAGGAGGATCAGAAGTTTGAGGCCAACCTCAGCAACTTAGTGAGATTCTATCTCAAAATAAAAAAGGACCAGGGATATAGCTCAGCAATAGAGCACCCTTGGTTTTTCAATCCCTAGTACTCGGGGGGTGGGAGAAGGAAGAAAATTTTTTTAAAAATGAAATGATGCCTTAATGAAATGTTTGTGAATTGTGAAATTAAAGACATTAATTACTGACAGATCATTTATTAAGTCCATTAGTAGCATATCTCAAGTACAGGAATTGCTTTTATGTCTTTGTGCTCTCTGTGGTTAAGGAAGTTATTTTTAGCTACACTTAGAATTACCTTTCTCTTTTCTGTATTCAACTGTTGAACCTGGGTTTTCTATTTTTACCTTGTAGATGATGTTTTTGCAGGTTCGCTTTCCCAGACTTCATTTGAGAGTGTAGGCTGCATGTTTATAGGCTGTGCTGTGCACGTTGTTAAAATCCTGAAGTCTTATCCATTATCCTTCTTGACTATGGTTTTCCTCAAGTTATGAATATGTATTAATAATGGAATCTCCCCAGTGCAGTGGCACATGCCCGCAATCCCAGTGACTTGGGGGACTGAGGCAGGAGGATCACAACTTTGAGGCCAGTCTCAACAATTTAGCAAAGCCCTTAGCACTCAGTGAGGCCCTGTCTCAAAAAAATAAAAAGGGCTAGGAATGCAGCTCAGTGGTATAAAGTACAAAAAGAAAAGAGGAATATAATTATAATATAAGGAAGCTATGATATGATATGTAATTTGTAAAAATGACTTTAGGATTTTTTTTCTTTGCAGTACTGTAGATTAAACCCAGGGTGCTTTATCACTGAGCTATTCCTCAGCCTTTTTGTTTGTTTGTTTGTTTCTTTTTAGTTGTTGATGGACCTTTATTTATTTATATGTAGTGCTGAGAATTGAACACAGTGCCTCACACATGTTAGGCAAATGCTCTTCCACTGAGTTACAACTCCAGCCCCACCTCAGCCCTTTTTTATTTTTAATTTTGAAACAGGGTCTTGCTGAGGTGCTTTCCAACTTGAGATCTTCCTGCTGCAGGCTACAAAGTAACTGGGATTATAAGCATATGCCACCACACCTTGAAGGAATATTTTTATAAAATTTATAATGTTTTTGGAAATATATGAGAGTGATTTATGTACAGTTTATCACACTTGCTTAGAATCTTTTCAGAAAACATTCTCTTATCTGATGGTTCATATGTATTTATATATCCAAGATTGTAATTCCTTTTTTCATACCACACATAACACGTGAGTTTATATCCTAAACTTAAAGTTTATCTCAGAAATAAGGAAATTAACTCAGTTTCAGTTTCAGAAGACCAGTGGAGTATATTATTCTTGAAAACAATGCTGGATTCATTTTAGCTGAGGTACTTGGAATTACATATAATAATGAAGTGACTGTTAATTTATTTAGAATGTAGGTATTCATCTCCCTTGTTACATGGCATTTAATATAATTTCATACCTTTTTTCTTATCATAGTCACTTTTGGGTCTCAAAAAGAAACTTATAAAAAGTAAATTACCATGAGTTTTAGATGTTAGTATCATTTTTAAAATATACTAGAAAATTTTCATTTGCATGAGTATATTTTGAAATAATTAAGAAAGACATAAGTATAAGGTGACTTCCTAAAGCATAACATCACCAGTAGAACCTAATGCTTTTTCCCAAAGACAGTATAGGTCTGGGCTTATTGCCAGAGTTCAGATCTGAAACCAAGCATCTTGTCTCGAATTAACTTGTAACTCCTCAAGATCCTGAATTCTGTTTGGGAGTACTTCATGATGTTAGATGGTTTCTCTTCATGGAACTTCATAGGCTTCATTAAGTGATTTGAGCTTAGTTAATTTCTCAGGAAGACTTTTTTCCTTAGTAGTGTATATAGTTATTTTCAAACTCCTAATTTTACTTTTTAAAAAATGAAGGTGTGGAAACTTAGGTGCCCCCACTCCCACCTTTTTTAAAAAATATTTTATAGTTGTAGATGAATACAATACCTTTATCTTATTTATTTTTACATGGTGCTGAGGATTGAACCAGTGCCTCACACATGCTAGGCAATCACGCCACCACTGAGCCACAACCCCAGCTAACTTTAGGTGTCTTAAGAAAGGGCATTCTAGTTGGGCATGATGGTTTACATCAATAATCTCTGGAGTTTGAGGCAGGAAAGTCACAAGTTCAAGCCCAACCTGATCAACTTAGTAAAACCCTATCTCACAAAAATTGCGGGCTGGGGGTGTGCTGAGGCTGTAAGTCAGTGTTAGAGTACCTCTGGGATTCAATGCCCAGTGCCATCAAAAATAACAACAAAAAGGTGTTGTCTCAGATATTGAATCTTACCTAGAATTGAAATGATTTCAGTGTTAAGAATGTAAGAGGTAGAGTGCTCATCTAGCATGCATGAGGCATTGGGTTCGATCTTCAGCACCACCTAAATATAGATATTGTGTCCACCTAAAACTAAAAGATAAATATTAAAAAAAAGAAAGAAGAAGAAGAAGGGTAGATGGGCTGGGGCTGTAGCTCAGTGGCAGAGTGCTTGCCTTGCACATGCAAGGCCCTGGGTTTGATCCTCAGCACCACATAAAAATAAATAAGATAAAGGTATTGTGTCCAACTACAACTAAAAAATAAATATTTTTTTTAAAAAAAGAATGGTAGAATTTCACTCATCATAGGCCTGATTTTTACAAATTAGATATACAACATTCATAAATATCTTTGTATGCCTTTACTCAGAGGAAGATGTAATATTTCTAACATCAATTGATAGAATTGATGAAAAAAAACTATGCATGAAAATTTAGGAGTTTTCAAATGACAATCATTTCCCAATAAATTTTCCTTATCATCCCATATCTGTATTCTGGCAGGAAATAGATGGCACACTCAAAAGGATTGAGAGAGAGTTTTATAAAGGAACTTGCTATAGATGTAGTTAAGAGACCCAACAGGACCAGCAGTAGAGGGAGCCAGCTCTAATGAATCCTGAATGGGAAGAAGGGGTTTGTTAAGCAGAACCTGTGTGAAAGTCATCGCTGTGAGAAAGGGGTCATGTGACAGGAGCCATGGCTATGATGGTAGAGTGTAGCCACCACTGAAACTGCAAGACTCCCCCAGGAAGAAGCAGAGAGTTAGCACTTAGTACTCTCTTTCTTCCAACCTTCCAATTCTCTGTTGGTGTCATCTGTAAAAATCAAGTGTTCCAGGCATAGAGCAGGCTTAAGAAAGGTCCAGGATGGGAGCTGGAGTTGTGGCCCAGCAGTTGAGCACTTGCCTAGCATGTGCGAGGTGCTAGGTTCAATATTCAGCACCACATAAAATAAAGATATTGTGTCCAACTACAACTATATTGTGTCCAACTACAAATATATATTTAAAAGAAAGAAAGAGAGGAAGGGAGGGAGGGCCACGATGAACCTAAAGAGACTATTTTGTACAGAATAGGGGAGTATGAATGTCAATCATCTTTATTCAAAATTGCCCATTTTTTGTATGAATTGGGCAGACCTGATCAATATCTGCTTGAAGTGTTAAATCTCATTATTATACCAAAAACATGTATGAAGATGTGAATTTGGTGTCAATATAACTTATATATAATCAGAGATATGATAAATTATTGTATAATGGTGTATTAAGAATTGTAATGAAAATAAATCTCAATTCATGTATCTTGATTAATGTTTCACATAATCACATTTCATTTTTTTTTCTTCCACCTCCAGATTACAATTCCTAGACCTTCTGTGGCATCAACACAGTCAACTTCAGGAAGTTTTCACTATGGTCAGCAGCCAGAGAAAAAAGATCTTCAGCCCATGGAGCCCTCTGTAGAACTTTATTCTCCAAGGGAGAACTTCTCTGGCTTGGTTGTGACAGAGGGTGAACTTCCTAGTGGAGGAAGCAGAACAGATTTGGGGCTTCAGATAGATCACATTGGTCAAGACATGTTACCTGATATTAGGGAGAGTGACAAATCTCAAGACCTGGGACCAAAAGATCTTCCTGACTATAATAGACTGGTTGTAAGAGAATTTGAGAATCTCCCTGGGGAAACTGAAGAGAAAAGCATTCTTCTAGGGTCAGATAATGAAGATGAAAAGTTAAGTAAAGGGCAGCAATGTATTGACATATCTCTTCCAGGAGATTTGGTAACTGTGGAAAGGGATCATTCTGCTACTACTGAACCTCTTGATGTGACAAAGACACAAACTTTTAGTGTGGTGCCAAATCATGACAAAAATCATGAGATAATGAAGCTTTTGGTAATTGGCACTTCAGAAATTTCTTCAAGAGTCATTGATCCACATGTTGAAGGACAGATAGGCCAGGTGGCACCAATGCAAAAAATTATACTATCTAAGAATGATGACATTAAGAGTGAAGACTTGCCAGGTCATCAGGGAGACCTCTCTACTTTTTTGCACCAAGAGGGTAAGAGAGAGAAAATTGCCCCTAGAAATGGAGAACTATTTCATTGTGTTTCAGAGAATGAACATGGTCCCCCAACTCGGAAGGATATGATTAGGTCATCCTTTGTAAGTAGACATAGTCGAATCCCTGTTTTAGCACAAGAGATAGACTCAACTTTTGAATCTTCCTCTCCAGTTTCTGCAAAAGAAAAGCTCCTCCAGAAGAAAGCTTATCAGCCTGACCTAGTCAAACTCCTGGTGGAAAAAAGGCAATTCAAGTCTTTCCTTGGTGACCTCTCAAGTGCCTCTGATAAGCTGTTAGAGGAGAAACTAGCTGCTGTTCCTGTTCACTTTTCTGAGGAGGAAGTCTTCACTCCATTTTCAAAACTGGCAGTAGATTCTCACCTGAGTAAGTCAGCTGAAGACAGCTTTCTGTCACCCATTATTTCCCAGGCAAGAAAGAGTAAGATTCCAAGGCCAGTTGCGTGGGTCAACGCAGATCAAGTCAATAGCTCAACTTCATCCCAGTTCTTGCCTCGACCACCACCAGGAAAGCCACCTACAAGGCCTGGAGTAGAAGCCAGGTAATACTGTCTGCTTTGAGTATGTTAATTGTGTCACATTATTTCTGTATCTGCTTTACTGTAACGTCAATGGTAGCATTTCTTTTTTGCTTGCTTTTGAGCATCTGCTTTCTTCCCTACCTTTCACAGGCCTTATTATATAGCACAGTACAAATTAATTCTTTTTTCCAATTTTTTATTGTGGTAAAATATACACAATATATAATTTATCATCAGTAATTCTTAAGTTACTATTTAGTGGTATTAAGTACATTTTATTGTCCAACTATCATTACCATCTACTTCACAACTCTTTTCATCATGTGAAGTGAAACACTAAAACCATTAAACAATAAATCCTTACTATCTTCTCCCTCTAGTCCATGGCAACCACTAATCTATTTTCTCTATGGTTTTGATCAATATACATACCTCACATAAGTAGACTCATTCAGGAGGATCGTAAGGTTGAGACCAGCCTGAACAATATAGCAAGACACTATCTTTTTAAAAAATTTTTGTGAATATCATTGATTCAATTATGACTTTTGGACTTATTTTATCAGATTAAGAGCCTTATTCACTATTTGTTATTTTATTGTAACTGATTGTTTCTATCATTGTATGTGCATTTAAAAACATTTTGTCTCATCTTTTCTAAGTAGTTTATATAAATTTGTAACCAGGAATTGCCATAATAAAGGAAAAAATTAATGACCTGTTCATATTCACACAAATATATACACATGCATGTGTTTAAAAAAGAAAAAGAAAAAATTGAGTCAGTTTGAAAAAAAGTTTTAATTTGTATTTGATTATTCATGAGACAGTTGTTTTGTTGGTGGTGATGTTCCTATCAAACACTACCCTATTGAGTGATTTTTCTTAAAATTAACATTTTTTTTTTTTTAAATATTTATTTATTTAGTTAGTTATTGGCAGACACAACATCTTTGTTTGTATGTGGTGCTGAGGATCGAACCCGGGCCGCACGCATGACAGGCGAGCGCGCTACCACTTGAGCCACATCCCCAGCCCTAAAATTAACATTTTTGCAAAATATATTGAAGAAATTTTTATCCAAGCCTGTGGTTTGCCTTTTACTTGGGTTATGGTATAGTATTTATGAAATGAATTTTTTAAATGACTTCTTTTTTTATATCATGCTTAGGAAGGTATTTTCAATGCTAAGGATTTAATTAAAAGGTAGTCTCTTCCAGTACTTCTCAGTGACACTATGAAATAGTATTCCTACTAAAAGCCAGAAGAGAAAAGCATTGGTCTAAGGGTCACATCTCTAGTATGTGAAAGAGTAACTTTTTGTTCTGTTAGTGTATTTTCTGATTTTGACGCACATGGTAGACATTATGATTTGGGACATTGTAACTTTTAGGTATACTTGGAATGAATTAAAATGAAAATGTTTCTTTGTTCTTTTAAGGCTACGAAGATACAGAGTTCTAGGGAGTAGTAACTCAGACTCAGACCTCTTCTCCCGGCTGGCCCAAATTCTTCAAAATGGATCTCAGAAACCCCGGAGCACTACTCAGTGCAAGACCCCAGGATCTCCTCACAATCCAAAAACACCACCCAAGAGTCCAGTTGTCCCTCGAAGGAGTCCCAGTGCCTCTCCTCGAAGCAGCTCCTTGCCTCGCACGTCTAGTTCCTCACCATCTAGGGCTGGGAGGCCCCATCATGACCAGAGGAGTTCATCCCCACACCTGGGGAGAAGCAAGTCACCTCCCAGCCACTCAGGATCATCCTCTTCCAGAAGGTCCTGCCAGCAGGAACATTGCAAACCCAGCAAGAATGGCCCAAAAGGATCTGGCAGCCTCTACCACCACACAGCCATCACTAAAACCCCTCCAGGGAAGAGTAAGCCAGCCAGTAAACTCAGCAGATAGGAGCTGGGCTGCCTGTCTGGGAAAGGTGTGAGATCTTCCTCCTAAACCTGATGCATGTGTGTCTCTGTACTGTCTATTTAAAAAATCAGTGTTGATCTTTTGGAAAAGAAAGTAACATGATCAATTATTTATAAGAAGACATAAATGTATAATAAGGATTTACCTAAAGCAGGTAGCAAGCAGATTGGGAACAATGCCTTTTGCATAGGAAGGGGCATCCAGCAAAATCCAAGGGGCAGAAACTCATTAAATGAGCTTTCACAACTTTTAGCTGACTTTGAAACAAGAGTTGAGGGTAGAAGATAGAAAGGAATTTTACTTTTAAGGAATTTCATTTAATTTTTAAAACCTCTACTCAAAAAATTATATAGCAAAAATGTTTGATATTTTCATTCAAATCTTCTGAACCTTGAAATCATTGCTCACATATTAGAGTATTTGTATATGTGTGTGTGTGTGTGTGTGTGTGTGTGTGTGTGTATATATATATATAAAGAAGCTTATTGCCAGGGAGCCAGTACTCTTTATATTTGGCTTGTGTGTTTATCTAGTGTATTGAGAATGTACCCCTTTGCTTCATTCCTAGCACCCTTCCTGGATTTCACATCTTTTCAAGTCGGTGTTTCCCACTGAATCCAATCTGTCTTCTTTTAACAATACATTCTAATAGGCATTTAACAGCACATGCTGAGAATTTCACAATTCCCATTTTTTTTTTTTAGTGCACTAATAATATTTTTCTTTGGAGCAACAGTTCTTTAACCCAGTACATTTTTATTATGAAAAATAACTGAGAAACTTAGGTATAGGAAACAAAAATCTGACTAAAGCTACTTACTTTACAAGCTTTAGTTTTTAGGGATAGAGGGAAAGAGAGTGAGGTAACATCTTTGAAGATGGAAGAACCCCTTTCAATCTGTTAAGTGTTCTGCTTGTGGAAGGAAAACTGAGTGAAGTTAGTAGGCTTCCTTAGGTCTTCTAGGTACCAGCTCTTTCTAATATCAACCTCCAAGATGATATTAGGGAAGCACAATGCTTTGGAATGTGACTTTATGCATTTAGAAAGAAAAACAAAAACATTTGGTGTGTTATGGAGGCTTATAATCTTTAAATTTTATATTTTATACATTTAGCTAATAAGGAATGAATATTTGGGGAAATAAGATTAGGCTAAGTATTTTTCTTTCATTGTTTTATTACCTGCTTCTGTGTTTTTTAGTTCAATAGTTGGGCTTCTTGGCCTGATTCCCATGTAATCTCAATTTATGAAACTAAGGAGGATCATATTTGTTCTTATCTCCTCTGCTAATAGGAATCAAGCAAAATTAAAGTATACTAGACTTTTTAATGGGCTCTTTTATACTCTGTAGGTGTTTTGTGTTGAAAAGTACTTATTAAGGTCAGGTAATTTGTTCTGTTTGCTGTTGAAATTTGCCTTCTAGCAAATATCTGTGAGTTTTCTCTTTGACCTTGTGTTTGCTGCCAAACCTAATAGGTTGAATTGGGAAAGAAACAAAAAAATAAATGTTATCTCCTTACCAAGTGAACACATTCTAATGCTGCATCAAAGTTGCCCTGAAGCTGCACTGAACCTGTCTTGTTCTCTTTATCTGTGTTGAGCTTTTTAACATTACAAACTCAAAACACTATATTGAGGCATATAAGGTCTCCCATAAGAAATGTAGCATAGTATGGAATCTTAATTTCTCTCCAGTTTCAAGCACTACAGAGGAATGCAGTAGATAAGACAATTTGCTGTTTATCTAAAGCAGCTGTAATATTGGAAGACTGATCTTTCTGTATTATATTGTATAATAGTTGCTATAACACTACTTGCATGTCTTCATGGTAAATTATATAAATATTTATAAATATATAGAGAGATATGCTTATAAAAAGTCATTCTTTCTCATTCTCCATTTGTAATTTCAAGATCACAGATGGTGAAATTTCTTTTGTATTGTGTGCCTCATGTACACTTGGGCCTTGTCTAACTTCATTTTCTGAAAATATGTTCTTGGCATGTGACACCTTAGATTTTTCTTGCCTTCCCTGTGTGTAATGCAAGGGTTGGTGGTCTTTAACAAGCCAAGATAGCTTATTTAATTGTTTTTGAAAAAGATTTTAATAGGGGAAAAATTACTGGGACATGCTTGTAATACTCAAAGATTTGTTATGTTAATCACATAGTTCTGTCCTTATCATTAGAGTAGATAGACTGGGATTATAATCATGGGTCTGATTATAATTTGATTTTTAAAACATTTCCAAATACTTGCCATCCTGCTTTCTTTTTTTCACATTACTTTTTTGGGTGGGAGTGAGAATGGGATGGGGGATAATTAGGAAATTATCTTTTATTCTATTGAATTAGCTATAAATTATGCTCAAGGTAGACAAATTTAAATACTGACCCCTCTAGTCAGAAATGTGTTAATAGTACCCATTGGAAAAGCTGATGAGGGTACAACTCTGGTGTGTGGGTCTGTGTTATTGTTGGCGTTTCTATGCTGGCAGTCAAAAATGATGGTGATGGCAACATGATAACAGTATGTTTTTTTTTCTTGGTTCCTTCCATTTTTCTACCAATCTTTACACTGGGTTGCTTCTTTTTTTTCTATGTGGCATTAACAATCTCATCAAGATTCAGAGATAACAGCCTTATTGGGTAAGAATATTTAACTTTGCATGTAGAAGAGTTAACCAAAGATGTTTCTGCTCTGATACTTTCAAAAGAAATAGACTAATCTTATGTTCTAATAGAGATTTACTTAACGGTTTTTAAAAGCCTTGTTTGTACTCTTAGATGTTAGATGTATGTTAGGCTAAAAATAGAAGTTGACAGCCCTGAGCAAGCACTTTTGGCACAAGAATTTTTGTTTTTATTTTATTTTAAAGTATTATACAAAGAACAATGTTTTTGTTTGGTTTTGGGGGTTTTTCCCCCTTTATTTTTGGGTTTTTAAGTGGTGGCATATTTCAGATTACAGTTATAGATCATCCAAGTTATTTTATTTTATTCCAAGTAATTTTAAACCAGTTTGGATAGTTTACTTAAGATGAATGTGGCCATTAACTAAAAAGTCAAACCAAACTGTATTAAAAGTATTATTGGGCAGAAGTTTGAATTACCTTTTGAAAATCAAGTACCTCCTGGTTTCTCCTATCACAACAGAATGGCTGGTTACCTAGCCACACTTTTGACCTTGCCTTCCCTTGTCTAGTCTCTGGGATTACTTGGGTGGAACAGAAGATAGGAATAGCACCAGCCCAATGCCTTCAGGTAGTATTCTTTCTCAGTTATGCTGCCAGATCTCCAGGGTTTATGAATTAGTTAAAATACTAAAATCCCACCTAGTAATATTATCAGCTTAAAGACATTTAACTTTAATGGATAGTGAACAAAGAAGGAAAACTGGATATCAAATTTAACATTATGACATAAATTATAAGTCAACTTTGAATATTAGGCCTTCAGCAGGCAGACACTCTCATTCTCAATTCTGGTATGCAAGCTGGCCTTGCTGACAGTGGCACAGATACATTTACTGCTTTTTAAGTTGCATATTTTGGAGTGGATGTCTTTAATAATAGTTGCCAAGTTAATCCAGTCCTAAATAAGTAGCAAAATGGTAATTGAGACCCAATATTATTTGCTTTAGCATACTAAGCCACTGCTTACTGACTCAGTGTTCTAGATGTGCAGTATCTCTCGTCTGATTCCTAGCTGCTATGGGAACTTGAGGTTCTTTGGTAGACACCCGAGACTCCTTCCAGATTACAGATTCCTAAGCTAATGTTTTATAGTTGCATCCGCTTTACAAGGGAAAAGTTGTACATTGGTGCATGTTTTACAAACCCAAACTCAGATAGTTTAAACTATAGTTTTTCTGTACCCAGTAGCTTTGAATTAAAAACAGATGCCTTTTTCCCAAAAGCAGACAGTTTTATGTTCCTAACCTAACATTAGGAATTGGTGAAAGGAGAAACTGGATCCAGAATTCAGAATTTTAGCAGCTTTGGAAAAAAATGCATCTTACTTTGGCTGTTTGAAAATATATTTATTTGTAGATAATCTAGATTTAGTCTTGGAGATCAAAATTTTTCATATTTTAAGAACTTCTTTCATTCCTTTATATCTTATCAAAACATGGTATGTCTTAAAGAATCTCTCTGTCATGTCATGTTCATGTGTTTTGGAATTGTTGGCATTCACTCTTAAAATCTTCCCATTTCTGTTTTTGTACATTTTACCACCCATGTTTTTGGACTTTGCTTATGGGGAGAGATGGTTTAGCATCTGTTATTAAGAAGATAGAATGGTTGACATCAACTGCACTGTTTAACTTTGTTGAGTTTGGTTCTACAGATAGTATATTAGCAAAATAGCTACTTGTCTATGATTTGACACAAAGTATTATAGGATTAGGGCATGTAATTACTATGGTTTTCCCTCTATGTCAGTATATACCCCAATTCAGTAACCACTGATGCTGGTTTAGACTCTTAGAGAAGGAGTTCCAGTCCTCAGACCATGTGGGAGATGTATAGTGCCTGGCAAACCAGGTGGTTGTCAGGACATCCCGCTTCTCTGCCCTCACCAAAAACAAAACAAAAAACCCTTGAGTGTGTACTTTGTGGATGTGTCATATTATTGGATATTTTCTATATTTTGGCAATTTCTTGCAGTCATGAGAAATTGCGGAGTCACTGGAGCCTTCAGAATTTGTTGCCAGCATTGCTATATAACAGGAGTTATATAGGGAGAATTCCCAAGACATTGGACAAGGATTCCTATCCACTTAGAGGAGAATCTGGATGCTGCACACCTTAATCTTTAAGAAATTCCCAGCTGGATATGGCTTATCAAGACATTTGGTTGTGATTGTCTACTTCTACTTTAAAAATATGTAAGCTTGATGTTTTATTTATTTTCCTTGAGCAAATTTAGATCAGAAAATTAATGTGAAAAGATCAGGATCACTTTAGGTTCCATATAATCTCAAAAACACTAAATAGCAACAAAGTAACATTTTTTCAGTAACAATTTGAATATTTCCTTATACTTAGCAGGCATGTAACAGAGGTGAAGCCCTTCCTTTCATTGCCCTGTGTAACTTAACAGGTTACTGCCTCCTCTTTACTTGGAAGTAACAGTGTGGGCACAGTGTGTACACTGGTAATGCTAACTATGTGTTCCAGACTTGGGCCAAGGGTTCTGGGTTGAGAACAGGATATGTGAGGCCGACTTTGAGCCCCTGGCACTACAGATTTGCTGATGACATACTTTTACACTAAAACAGTTAGGAAATTTACCTCCTTTTAGTAGTTTAATGTTGTTTCATATTTTGTATGTAAATGTTCACTCACCTATTTAAAAACATTGAGTAAATCAAGTTTTTATATAGACTACCCTTCCCATATGATGCTTTTTTCCTCTTATATAGTTTAAATCTCTAAAAAATTAATTCATAGCACTTCACTGGACTCTGTCTGGGTGTTCTTCATTCACCTACAAGAGGTAACAAGGCAGCCAGAGCTTGGCTGTGATTATTTGTGGGGGTTTCCCAGAAAAGGGAAAGCTTTGAGACTTTCCAAAACAATTTTCAACTATGCACAACATAGTGAATTAGTTCGCTAAGGTAAAATGCTTTGAGCCAGATAAAGGAATATAGCACTGGGCCACTTAGGGATTTGAAATTGGGTGGACTGAGGAAAGAGAACAGGTCAGATGACCCAGGCTTGAACTTCTTCACTTTTCCCTGATGCAGTTCCTAAAGCTCCTCTGATTTCCTTCCTAAAATAGCACCTATTTTATTTGGCCATTTATTACAAGTTCCCAGCTTTTAGGAAAGGGGAGGGGGCATCCAGTTTTGAATTAGATATACATCTTGAAAGTTATGAGCTATTGGCAGCTATTAAATCAGATTTAACCACAAACCAGAATTCTCTCGTTAAACAAGACCAGTGAGTTAAAATAGATGACAAATAATTCCACTTTCCTGTACCTCTCTTCTCTTCATGGGATCAGAGATGAGAAATATCGCCAAAGGTACTGCATAGTCCCATTCCCCTCCAAGCAGCTCCCTTTATGCGTTTTTGCTCAGGCAACCAAGGACAGAATATTGGCAGAAACATGGAGTGCTTTTGTATAGGCCATCTGTACATAAAAAATGTAATTTATTTAATTTTATCATTTGTATCATATTAAAGCTTTGTACAGTGTTTTAAGTTCTGTTTTAAAATTATTTTGTATTTTATTTTTATAATCTAGTAATAAAATATTCATTCCGCATGCAAACTCTAGTTCTCTTTGTGTGATGGTTTTGATTTCAAAAGTGGGAAATATTTTTCTAATTTAATAAAACTTTGAATGCATTAGCAATTACAAGATTAACTGGGGGCTGGGGTTGTGGCTCAGAGGTAGAGCACTTGCCTAGCATGTGCGAGGTCCTGGGTTCGATCCTCAGCACCACATAAAAATAAATAAATGTTAAAAAAAAATTAACTGGGAGCAAAAAGTGTTACTGAAAATGCAGTACTCCAGAAAACAGTGACCGGAAGTGACCTAGGAAAATGAAGCCCTGGGCTGAAAGAATAGAAACTAGGTGTTCAGTGTCTCTGCAGATGAAAACCAGGTTCAGAAATATGAGATGGTTCCTGTGCAACAAAACTGTCAGAAGCTTCCTTTCAGTGCATTATTCTCTCTGGCTGAAGATATTTTTTCCTCCTCCATAGGAAACACCTCTGGTACCACTAGAGGGATTCAGGCTTCCGCCACCCTCTGGGTTCCTGTTGTAATCTTCCTTTGAACCAAGGAACCCAGGAGGCATTCACAGGGTCCTGGCTTCAGGCTCCCTCCGCAGGACGTGGAATATTAACTGCCTTCCACATTTTTCAGCCTAGATTCTCTTAAATTCCTCACTGAGGAGCAACATCAAAAATGCCCAGTATCAGATTTTTCAAAATAAGGGCAAGGAGTGCAGTTAAGTGGTACTGCATGGTGCCTGCTGAGTGCAAAGCCCTGGGTTCATTGCCCCCCACCCCCACCTCGTAACGCATAAAAACAAATATACCCTCACACACCTTGCTCTCCCAGAAGCTAATCGTGAATATGCCTATGGGCATCTCAACTGGAAAGTAGTTGAAATATTAATCTTGAGTAGCACTGTGTAAAGCAGTTCCCTAGAGATCCCTAGAGACCATTTATTGATCTTTCAGGAAGAATTCTCTCCTAAATAATCAGTTAATGGAGAACATTGCAAAGCTTGGCCAATGGGTGAAAAGTCAGCCTTTGAGAAAAACGAGGTCAAAATGAGAAGTTAGATTAAAACTTCATAACTACTTTTTGGATGGTAAACCTGAAAAAACCCTAACTCTCGGAAATGTGCTTATGGCAGAAGGCGTGGGCTGGTTGCTGTTTTAGAATTGTTCACCTTTACAGCCGGCCGCTCTCCCGCGCCCTTGGTCTCCCGAGAGTTGCGTCTACCTCGCGGCAGCCCATCCTAACTCGAGTCCCGGCGAGTCGCCCCCTCGGGCCGGCGTAGTCAAGGTAGGGGCCCTCCTGGGCTGTGCAGCCTGTTGGCAAGCACAGCGGCCCCAGCGACTCCTTGACCGCAGGCCTGAACAAGACCCACCCGCCGCGCCCTGCCGCCCAACGGTCGCTCCCGGCCGCCGGCCCCGCCCCTCCCAGGCCGCCCGTGGCGCGCCGGCGCCTGCGCAGTTGCCCCAGAGCGCCCCGACCGGGATGGCGGCCGTTTTGGAGTCTCTTCTGCGAGAGGAGGTGTCGGTCGCAGCTGCCGTGCGGTGGATCGCGCGCAGCACCCAGAGTTCGGAGGTAACAGCACCGACACGCCCCCAGGGCTGACCAGAATCGGCTTCCCGCGGGAGATACTGCCTCTCCAATCCCTTCCTCTAAGATGCCTAGCTGCCAGCCCGGGCCGAGTGCACTCGGACCGGGCGCCGCTGCCCGGGCCGCCCACCCTAGGCGCGCCCTGCGGCCCCAGCTGCCCCGGACCTGGGCTGGCAGCTGATCCTCTCTCCCCTCGACCTCTGCTTCTTCCACAGGAGACCCCGGGGGAGGCGGCCGTGCTGAACTCACTCCGGCCCCTACGGAAGGAATTCGTACCGTTCCTGCTCAACTTCCTGAGGGAGCAGAGTAGCCGCGTCCTCCCGCAGGGCCCCCCAACCCCAGCCAAGGCTCCAGGAGCCTCAGCAGCCTTGCCAGGGAGGCCGGGGGGCCAGCCGCGGGGTGGCCGCGGGGCGCGCAGCCAGCTCTTTCCTACGACTGAGCCCCCGAGCACCGCCGCTGAGGCCCCTCTGACCCGCCGCGGGGGCAGGAGGCGGGGTCCGGGGCCTGCCCGGGAGAGAGGAGGCCGTGCCCCCGGGGTCCCAGAGGAGGGGGTCCGCGGGGAGAGCCTGTCCTGGCCCGGAGGCCGGAGGCTTAAGGGCTCTGGTAGCCCCAGTACCCCCAGCCTCACGCTCTCTGATCCACCAAACCTCAGCAACCTGGAGGAGTTCCCTCCCGTAGGCTCGGTTCCCCCCGGCCCTGCAGGGTGAGAACCAGCCCTAACAGAGGAGATGGGTGGTCTGAAGCCTCTGCTAGGGAAGTTTGTAAATCAGAGCTGAGCTCGGGAAGGGTTGGAAGGTTGGGAGCGAGGTAACTATAATAGTGAGGGGATTTTTTTGTTTGTTTTTTTGCAAGAGGCCCAGCTGTGGGGGGTGGGCGTTATTTGAAGATAGAAATTTGAGGAAAACCTATGGCTACTCTCAGCAGGACGAAGCCTTCACGCAGGATCAACCCAACTCCGGTGAGCGAAGAGCGGTCACTCTCCAAGCCCAAGATCTGCTTCACCTCACCCCCAATCAGCTGTGTCCCCAGTTCCCAACCCTCAACCCTGGACACTAGCCCTTGGGGCCTTGGCCTTCCCCCAGGGTGCAGAAGTCTGCGAGAGGAGCGGGAGATGCTCAGGAAGGAGCGGTATGGCCTTGCCGCTCCCTGGGATGTCAGCTTCCTCCCTTGTGGGGGACCTGCAGGGCTTTTCCGTGAAATTGATTTCCCCCGTGGGAACTCTGGGTTTGTTTCCTGGGCTGGTCAATGTCTTCTCTGGAGGGAGTGTGTGTGAGAGAGAGAGAGAATGTGTATGGAAAGCCAGGCTAACTGCTCATGAGATCTCTCTATCCCCATAGCTCTAAACAGCTGCAGCAGTCACCTACCCCTGCCTCTCCCACCCCAGAATTGGGAACTTCCCTCCCCAGCCGGACTGGAAGCCTCACTGCAGAACCTGCTGACCCTGCCAGAGTGTCTTCCCCCCAGCGCCTGGAGCTGGTAGCCCTTGTCTACTCCTCGTGCATTGCTGGTGAGAGAGCTAGCAAGGGGAGCTACAATGGAGATACTTGTAGAACTGCAGCATAAGCCATGTAAAACTGAGCCTTGGCTCCGAATGGTTCCAGTACTAAGGGATTTCTTTTTATATCCAGAGAACCTGGTCCCAAACCTCTTCTTGGAGCTTTTCTTCGTCTTTCAGCTCCTTACTGCCCGAAGGATGGTGGCTGCCAAGAACAGTGACCTTGAACTGAGTCAAGGTGCTCTACATCAGTGAGATACCTCATATTCTAGAAATGGAGTCTACAGATGGGATAGCCCTTAATTAACAGTTTGTTACTATCTTTCTAGATTCCCTGGAAAGCCCACTATTCCAGAGCATCCATGATTGTGTGTTCTTTGCAGTGCAGGTTTTAGAGCACCAATTTCAGTGAGTTTCTTTTATTTTAATTGTTTGTCTGATTCTCTGACCCCTTGGGTTATATACTTGTACTTAACAGGTACAGTGGTCCTGGACCTTATCCTAACTATAATTTTGTGTCAAGGTTGAGTTTGTCTCCCCTAAAAGAATCTAATATACTCAACAGCTGACCTTTGGATTTATGGCTAATATTCCTGGCCTGCTCTCTTGATCTCTGCTCTGAAAGGTCTAATTTCCTTGCCCTTTGCCTCTGTTGTCTTGGTCTTTGACCCGTAACCCTACTGTACATTTCTGGACTTTACACACCTGCTCCATGCTCCCAATACACTTTAATAGGGTGCCTGCTTCCTATTTGCAGTCTGTGTCTCAGTCTCAGTTATTTGTGCACTTCTTCCTGTAGGGTTCTTTCCTCCTTGGACAAAGGGACCTTAAAGCTGCTGACTGAGAATGAACGACTACTGTGCTTCTCACCAGCTCTTCAAGGCCGACTTCGAGCTGCTTACGAGGGCAGTGTTGCCAAGGTAGTGTGACCCCAGCTTAGAGGACTACTAACCTGGACCTGACCATTCCTAGCTTTCATGAATTCAGGCAATCTGCTCATGACACTTAATTGTCATATGAGCTAATTCTGGGTAACAATAAGGGAGTAAAGTCTTCTGAGCATGACTTCCACAGGCTTTATAAAGTTTCTGATGTCTCTGCCATATTTTAGGTCTCTCTGGCGATGCCACCCTCGGCTCAAGCTGTCTCCTTTCAGCCAGAAACTGACAATCGTGCCAACTTCTCCAGTGACCGAGCCTTTCATACTTTTAAAAAACAGAGGTGAAATGGAAAGGGAATATTGAGGGAAGGAATAAGGCAACATTTTCTCTGTAATAGGCAGCTGTCTTGTTTTCATAGAAAATAGGAGTCTGGCACTAACAAGTAGTAGGTCAGTACCCCCAGGCTCTAATTAACAGCCATCATGAGGGCCAGTTGTTTCATTCTGTTTCGTTCTCATGGACTTGAACCCTTGAGTTTGACAGCCCTCTCACAGGTGTATAAACTACTCAGACAGGAGTATGCCAGGATTCACTTTCACTGCTCATGGATGTATGTAAGGCCAATGAGTGCTGCTGCTGGGTCTGTAACATTACCATCACATAAAGAACTTTGGAGCTTAAGGAAGGACTGTGGACAGGGCTGTCCTCAGTCTTCCAACCTAGGGAATACTTCACTGGAAATGAGTTAGAGATGGCTGTGCTGCAGCTGATCGGGTATTCTTGTGTGTCTGTCAGAGATGTGTTCTATGAGGTTCTTCGAGAGTGGGAAGATCGCCACGAGGAGCCCGGCTGGGATTTTGAGAAGGGCTTGGGCAGTAGGATCAGGTGGGTACTCAAATGCTGGTCCCTTTTTCTTGCTTCTGATGGCATCTCAGTGATGCTTGGTAAGCTGACTGGAAGAAAGCTTTCCACCACTCCTTCCAGCCCAAAGCTATATATTCTTTTCTCCTCCTTAGTCTCTAGTTATTGACAACTCTGCCTCTACTCAAAAGGGATTTCTTTCCAGCTGCTTCCACTCAGAAGTGCCTTGCACTTACTTATTCTATAATGGCAAATGGGAAAGTGCAAAGCTCTTAATCAAGGTTGCTTGAATTTTGGACCAAGTCATTGGCTAGACTTCCGCCTCTAATTTGGGCATGTCTGATAATTTTGCATAGATAGATGACTAGGCTGCAGAAAGAGTATTTTCTAACCACATACCTTGAAGTGGTCAAGGTATATAGTCCACATACCTGTAGTCCACATTGGTCTTGAAGTACACTGGCACTTAGTGTGGCCTGAAGATTTAAGAGGTGGCATTTCTTGTTTGGTTAAGTGTATCTTTAGCTTTGAGGGATCTTGGTGCTGAGGGGTGTCCTTTACCTTCTCCCATGCCCCTATGCAGGCCAGCTCTGGAAAAGGTCTGTTCAAGTCCCTGGTAAACAGCTGAAAAGCCTGAGGATTGGCTTGCTTGCTCAGATCTTTGTCTGTCTTACCTCCTTCCCACACACTCTACACCTGCTTCTTGTTCCTCAGAGCCATGATGGGTCAACTGTCTGCAGCCTGCAGCCATAGCCACTTTGTACGGCTTTTCCAAAAACAACTTCTCCAGGTAATAGCTTGTCAAGAAATTAATCTACAGCAAACTGCGGGTATTGTAAGCAGCCAAGTAAAGGATGGCACCCTGGACAGTGTGGATAGCCAAGTAGGCCCTTAAGTGGCAGTTAAACTCAGGTGGCAGAGAAAAAAAACAGAATGCTCTCTGATGTGCCCTGCACCTTTTGCCCTTCCCTGATCTATTACATTCTGTGTGTGTGTGTGGTTCTGGGGATTGAACCCAGGACTGCTCTACCACTTAGCTATGTCCCCAGCCCTTTTATTTTTTATCTTGAAATAGGGTCTCACTAAGTTGCCCAGGTGGGCCTCAAATGTTACCTCCTTTTTCTTGTTTGGTGCTGTGGTAGAAAGCTGAGCTTAGTAGTCAGGTCTTTTCAAATCCTAACTCCAGCAATTCTAGGCACATGGTTACACTTGCAATTTCAGTTTCTTCACCTTTAGAAGAGGAATATAATTCCTCCCTCAAAAACTGTCCAAAGTGCCTAACATGGAGTTGGCATTTCATAAATGTTCATTACTTTGTGCTTATTTTGATCAGTCCTTTTCACTTACTTGCTTTCAATTTCCTTCCTTTCCATCACCCCAGATGTGTCAGAGCCCTGGTGGTGCTGGGGGCACTGTCTTGGGTGAGGCCCCAGATGTGTTGAGTATGCTAGGAGCTGACAAGCTGGGGCGGCTGCGGCGACTACAGGAACGACTTGTGGCTCCTCAGAGCAGTGGGGGGCCCTGTCCACCCCCCACCTTTCCTGGCTGTCAAGGCTTCTTCAGGGACTTCATCCTAAGTGCCAGCAGGTAAGTTCCCCTGTGTCTTGCAAAGGCAGGTTCAGGGTGGGAGAGGTTTGGCTTCCCAGAAGGGCAAATCACTCTCTCTCCTCTGCCTGGAATAAATAACAGGGTAGAAGTAAGTGATCTCTGGCTCCGTTCAGCTCACACTTTCTTACTTCATTTCATTTCTCATTCTTTCACCCATGTAGGTAATTTCATTGTTTCTCAGCCTCACCATCTATCATGTAGATCTTTTTTTGTATGGGGTACATACTCTCAATTCTAGTTCTTCCTACACCTCTAGTACTTTTTTTTCTTTTCTTCGGCTTTCTTTTTTTTGTGTGTGCTTCCCAACCCCCCCACTTCAGCTTCCAGTTTAATCAACATCTTATGGATAGTCTGAGCTTGAAGATACGGGAACTTAATGGCCTTGCCCTGCCTCAACATGAGCCTGGTGATGAAGATGGAGAGTCAGATGTAGACTGGCAGGTTAGAAAGCAGGACAAGGGAAATAAACAGGGTCTGACTTACGAGGGAAGGGGTAAGTGCAAAGAGAACAGATTTATAATTGTTCTAGGAGGCTTATACTTAGGACCTTTTACTTCCCTTGGTGCCTTGCAGGGTGAACGGAGGCAATTTGCTGTGGTGCTTCTTAGCCTCAGACTTTTGGCTAAGTTTCTGGGCTTTGTGGCTTTCTTGCCATACCGGGGCCCTGAACCACCCCCAACCCGTGAGCTTCAAGACTCCATTCTGGTCCTCAGGAGCCAGGTGAATGATTGGGAGAACCTGGTAAGGAGGGAGCTGGGAGGTCCAGAAAGGCACAGAGGTTGACTGGTTTCCTTGGCTATTCTGGAAACCTGGCAGGTAGAGGGCATCATCCAGCCCCTTCTAGGGGCCAATCACTGACTGAGCCTGGCTCTCCCAGGTTCCTCCTGTCCTGGATGTTCGAGCTCTGCTGCAGCAGGGGCTGAGGGCCCGCCGGGCAGTGCTCACTGTGCCCTGGCTGGTGGAGTTCCTTTCCTTTGCTGATCACATTGTCCCTTTGCTGGACTATTACCGGAGCATCTTTACTCTCCTGCTGCATGTACATCGGTGAGTAAAGCAAGGCTAAGGCTCAAGAAAAGAAAGTGTGAACATTGCTCAGTCCTATTTATAAAGAGGATCAAATAGTGAACTTCATGTGTGGTTCCATAGCTGAGCCTCGGAGGAAGGGCAGAGGTTGACTGACAGAGACAGACTAGACAATTGTTTACCTTTCTCCTATGGCCCAGCCAAGAGAGAATACATATAGCAGGGGCTGCCAAGGCAACCCTGGTTGCCTATGTAGTCCGTTTTATGTCTGCTTTTGAGAACCACTTTCCCAGTGATAGCTTTCCATTACTCCATTCCATCCTTTGCATGAATTCTGTTCACACCCTCCATTTACCTTTTAGGAGCTTGGTCTTATCTCAGGACAATGAAGGGGAGATGTGTTTCCTAAACAAGCTGCTCCTGCTTGCTGTCCTGGGCTGGCTCTTCCAGGTGGGCAGAGTGAGGGTCCAGATGAGGTATGGTGACTACTGTGGTAGAGATGGGGACAAGAGCACTAGAGTGTGACCAAGGTAGGGGCCAAAAGATGAAGGTTCTTCAGAGGACCACCACTTGGCCCTGCTGCCTCTTGGGCCTGGTGAGGTCAGAGGTGTGGTGAGTCTCAGAAGTGCTGGGTGGAGCTTTGGCTGCCTTGCTCTCTTGTCAGATTCCCACATTCCCTGAGGATCTATTCTTTCTGGAAGAGGGTCAAGTGGATGCATTAGAGGTGGACACAGCAGCTTCAGAGCATGGCTTGGTGAGTGTTGGGGTGTAGCCAGAGATGTGGTCTGTCTGGGAGGGCCCAGCAGAAGACAGACTGTGGTAGTTGTTCAACCCTTACACATCTCCTGACGGTCCTACCCCTGAGCATGCTGGGGAGGAAAGGAAACCTGCTCGCCTGCCCTCCCAGCCCTGGCCTCTTCTCCCCCAGGACAGTGTGCCTGTGGTGGATCAGCAGCTGCTCTACATCTGCTGCCCCTACATCGGTGAGCATCCCATCCCCCTTAACAGTCCTTGGCCTGTCCTTTCATGAGTACCTATCAGATACCCCATTGGTCTGATTCCCCAATACCTTGATCTTTCATGAGGCTCTCCAGGTGCCATATCTTTATCCCACAAGTACTTATAGTCTTGCATTCTTAGGGGGTGAGGAGGACTCTGAAACTAATACTTTAGACTTTCCTGATGCAGGAGAGCTCCGGAAACTGCTCGCTTCATGGGTTTCAGGCAGTAGTGGACGGAGTGGGGGCTTCGTGAGGAAAATCACCCCCACTACCACTACTGGCCTGGGAGCCCAGGCTCCTCAGACCAGCCAGGGGCTGCAGGTAAGAATAGGGATAGGGCAGAGAGTGCCAATGTGGGGAGGCAGAAGGAATCCCTCATGAGGCTGCTCCTTCCTTCGCAGGCACAGCTTGCCCAGGCCTTTTTCCACAACCAGCCACCTTCCCTACGCAGGACTGTGGAGTTTGTGGCAGAGAGAATTGGCTCAAACTGTGTCAAACACATCAAGTAAGAGTGGGTGAGGGTCCTATTCTCAATCTCTTTCCATTTGCCCTCTTAACTCCCTTTTTTTCTTTTGTGCTCACACACGTGTGTTGCTGGGGATCCAACCCCGGGCCTTGTGCACACTAAGGAAGTGCTCTACCACTGAGTACACCCCAGCCTCCTTTCAACTTTTTTGTTGTGGTGGTGGTGGTGGTGGTAGTAACTGGGGATTGAACCCAGGGGCTCTACAACTGAGCTATATCCCCAGCCCTTTCTATTTTTATTTTGAGAAAGGGTATCATTAAGTTGCCCAGGCTATCCTTGAATTTGCAATCTTTCTGCCTCAGTCTCCTGAGTCTTTGGAATTATAGGCCACCAGGTCTGGTCTCTTTTAATGGCTTTTTGTCAAACTGAGGAAAGTCAACTGTGGGGTGGGTGGAAAGGGAAGGCTGAAATTGCTAATATTCCTTGAAGGTAGTTCTGACCAAATTTCCTTGAATTTGCAGCCCCTTTCCAACTCATCCCTTCCAACTACCCCAAACCCCTCTGTCACTGCTGCAGGGCGACGCTGGTGGCAGATCTGGTGCACCAGGCAGAGTCACTTCTTCAGGAGCAGCGGGTGACACAGGGACAGAAAGGGGGAGATCCAGCCCAGTTGTTGGAGATCTTGTGTTCCCAGCTGTGTCCCCATGGGACCCAAGCATTGAGCCAGGGGCGGGAGTAAGAAATGCCAATCTATTTGGACCCTTTCATCTCCTCTACTCTCCTATCTTAGCTTTTGTTTTTCTGTTCTCTCTCTACTCTTTCACACTCATAACCTTTATTCTATTCTCCACCCCATTTTCTGTTCTTTTTTACCCTTCTCTATAGGTTCATATCTTTGGGCACAAAGTCCAAATGTTGAATTGAGAGAGCATGTAATGCTGTAGGACTAATGGCTTTTTCCTTCCTCCAGCATCTGGGGCAGGGTAGGGGTCTGAGGTAGAGACTCCCATGTCCGGGGTTTGGAGCATTTGGGGTGTCCTCAGGCTAAAATATATAGATTTCACTGAACTCTTTCAGGTTCTGCCAAAGGAAGAGCCCTGGGGCTGTGCGGGCACTGCTTCCAGAGGAGACCCCAGCAGCTGTACGTAGGAATAAGGCCTGAGCTAGCAGACCAGTGGTTGTGTTTGTGTGTGTATGCATGAAAGAGTACATACCTGTAGCTGTGTATGCAGCTGCTATAAGGTGGGGAGTTAGTCCTGAACTCTGGTATCCATCATTGCACCCAACCCTTCTCTGTCCTGACTCTATAGTTCTTCTGTCACAGGTACTAAGCAGTGCAGAGAACATAGCTGTGGGGCTTGCAACAGAAAAAGCCTGTGCCTGGCTGTCAGCCAACATTACAGGTTAGGTCCGGGAAAGTGGGGGACTGAATCAGATTTAGAAAGGTGGATTGGCAGGGCAGTTTGGGGAGATGAGACTCAGAGCCATCTGGAAACTGTGAAGGACATGGGTTGGCATGGTGAGCTTGGGTGGGCACTCCTGTAACCCTGTTTCTGTTCTCCTTCTGCCCTGTAGCACTGATTAGGAGGGAGGTGAAAGCGGCTGTGAGTCGCACACTTCGAGCCCAGGGTCCTGAACCGGCTGCCCGGGGGGAGCGGAGGGGCTGCTCCCGCGCCTGTGAGCACCACGCTCCCCTCCCCTCCCACCTCATCTCCGAGATAAAAGTACACAGCTACCCTACTCCCTTTGGCTTCCCCATTCCTTCTCCTTGCTCTGTTGCTGGTTTCTTTCCTTTCTCACATCAGCTCCAGGATTTCTGTATAGAAGCTTTGTGTGTTACCTGTCTAGTTTCTATTTCTTTCATTACTGAATAGGATTAGGTAGAGCAGAGCTGAATCAAATGGTTTTCCTAATGTTACTGACTTTAGTACCTGAATCACCCAAAAGGGCAAGAAGGAAAATCTAAAACTAAATTTATATTATACAGGTTGTAGTGGGAGCAGCTGGTAAATGGCTATGGGTATCAATTCAGTACTGTTCTTCTACGTGGGACATAATGCTTGTTTAGTTACAGGCAATAAGAATAAACTGTACTCCTAACTTGATTTGAAAAATTCAGAGACTTTTTAGAGTAGGGGTCAGCAAAATGGGCCCAACTGTGCTTGCCACTTACTTTTGCAAATAAAGTTTTATTGGAACACAGCTATAGCCATTTGTTTACCAAATGTCCATGTTGCTTTTGTGTTAAAATGGCATAGTAGTTAGAACAGAGATCTTATGACTTGCAAACCTAATGTATTTACTATCTGGCCTTGGTCAAGGAATAAAGATGTGGAATAAGGACAAAGAACAAAAGTGACTTACAATGGAGAGTATGTAGGGGAGAGAGGAAAAGACATATGACCACTAAATACTGTTTATCAGTAGGCAGATTTTTGTATTGAAACCTCACTGCCTGAGAAAATGGAAGCATGAGGGTTAGAAAACATTCAGACTGTGTATCTCATGGGACAGTTTCCCAAAACACTGTAAGATGCCCCCTAGGAGTTGGTTAATTTTGACCCATGTTGAAAAATCTCTCTTAAGCTCTGTGGTAGCCCATTGTCCTTTGGCTTATCTGCTTCATCTGTTTCCTCTTGGGTTTCCCACATGGTTGCTTCTCCTAGCTGTATTGTCCTATCTGAACCCCAGCTCCAGGGATCTCTTGGTCCAGATGCTTCACCCCCAGGACCAGATTTTCCTTTTCCTTCTGACTCACTCTACTGGCTGGTCCCCACCCCAATCCAAATTCTCTGGCAGCCTAGTCCTGGCCTGGTATGAGGTCTTATCCTGTTCTCTGCAGGATGTGCTCTCTCTGGCTGCTGGGCCCCGAGACCCTGATGAGGGTGTTTCCCCAGAGCATCTGGAGCAGCTCCTAGGCCAGATGGGCCAGACACTACGGTGCCGTCAGGTGAGACATGTCATGTGCTACATGAAGAATGGTCTTCTGTTGCCTTATAAGTAGAGCCACACTGTCCCAGGGATAGTCTTCACAGCAGTAAGGATGACGTTCATGTCTCCCTTTTTCTCTTAGTTCCTGTGCCCACCTGCTGAGCAGCATCTGGCAAAGTGCTCTGTGGAGTTAGCTTCCCTCCTGGGTATGGTTCCTTTCTGTCAAACCCCTTCTCCCTTGCTATATTCCCTCAAAATCAAGGTTGGGTATAAGCAGGATTAGACATATCTCTTTTATGCCTCTATTTTTAAAAAATTTGGCTTCCATCATGTCCCATAGTTGCAGACCAGATCCCTGTCCTAGGGCCTCCACCACAGCACAGGCTGGAGCGAGGGCAGGCTCGAAGGCTTCTGCACATGCTGCTTTCCCTGTGGAAAGATGACTTCCAAGGTCCAGTTCCACTACAGCTGCTACTGAGCCCAAGAAATGTGGGGCTTCTGGCAGATACTCGGCCAAGGGAGGTGAGTCAGAAGTAGCAGGTAGGAAAGCTTTTTTTTTTTTTTTTTTTTTTCTGAAGATTGAACCCATGGCTGCTTTAGCTATATCCCCAGTCCTTTTGAGACAGGGTCTAGCTAAATTGCTAAGGCTGGCCTCCAACTTACAGTCCTCCTGCCTAATCCCGAGTTTCTGGGATTAGGCCTGGTGAGAAAAGGAAAGCTTCTTAGTCTTCTGTAGTCTTATTTTGATAGTATTAGGGATCTGTTTTTTCCTTTCCTTTTCTTGCATATTTTTTATTGGTGCATTATAGTTTACAGAATGGTGGGAATCACTCTTCCATATTCATACAATGTAACAATTTAATTTGGCCGATATCATTCCCCTGTATTTCCTCTTTCCTTCCCCCTGGTCCCTTTACTGATCTCTTTGATTTTCATGGGATTTTCCTACCCCACCAACTTTTCTTTTCCCTCTCTAGCTTCCACATATGAGAAAAAATACAACCCTTGACTTTTCTGAGTTTGGCTTATAGCACTTGATATAACGTTCTCAAGTTCCATCCATTTTCCTGCAACCTTTTTATGGTTGAATAGACACCACTGTCTGTGTATCACATTATATTTATCTATTCATTCATTGATGATCATACAGGCTGGCTCCATAGTTTGGCTATTGTGATGCTATAAATGTGCATGTATTGCTATAGTATGCTGACTTTAATTCTTTAGGATAAAGTTTGTGGAGTGAATTTGTTTCCTTTATTCCTATTCCATGTTGAAATGGGACTCCCTATGCTTGTCTTGAGCCTCCATTTCTCAGCAGCTCTGCCCTTTAGATTTCAGTTTGTACTAATCAGGGTAACTATACAGTCCTCGAAATGCTGAGCTTCCCCATGGTGTGTTTTGCAGTGGGACCTGCTGCTGTTCTTACTTCGGGAGCTGGTAGAGAAAGGTCTGATGGGACGGATGGAGATAGAAGCCTGCCTAGGCAGCCTTCATGAGGTCCAGTGGCCTGGGGTAAGAAGTCCTCATCCCTTGCTTTAAATAAAGATATCAGGTGTCCTATATACCATTTATCCTGAAATGGGGCAAAGTGATGGAACCAAAGCTAAGTGGATATCTGTAAAGTGTCTTCAGGACAACCCTATAATTGAGGAGTAGCTGTTATAGTTGACCTTCTTCAGATCTGAGTGGCCGATGTATGAGGCGCTTGTGAGGGAAGGCAGGCAGGTGGAAAGCAGGATGGTACAGTATATATAGGTCTTTATCATCAGAATAACCTGGACTCAGTTACTAGTTAATGTTTTTGTGACTTGGCACAAATTAGTTTTTTTCATCCTTAAAATAATGGTGGCATACTCCTGTAATCCCAATGGCCTGAGAGGCTGAAGCGGGAGGATCGTGAGTTCAAAGCCAGCCTCAGTAAAAAGCAAAGCACTAAGCCCCTGCCTCTAACTAAAATATAAAACAGGGCTTGGAATGTGGCTCAATGAATTCAATCCCTGGTACTCCCACCGCACCCCCCCCCAAAAAAAACAGAACTAATAATTTCAAGACGAAACATCAGCTGTGCGCCAGGTTGTTGTCTACTCACCAATTAGCTAGAGACTGATCTTTAGAAGGGTGGATGTGTCCAGAATTCCATGTCTGCCTTTTCTCGCACCTTTCTACGTACTGCAGGACTTTTCTGAAGAACTAGCAACACTGTTTAACCTGTTTCTAGCTGAGCCCCACATGCCAGAACCTCAGCGGAGAACTTGTGAACTGGTACAGCCAAATAGGGGGACAGTGCTGGCCCAAAGCTAGGGCTGGGAAGTGGCCCTGTTTTGGGCGTCTCACCAGAACCCTGGAATCCTGCCTGTGCCTCAGGTGGAGCCCCAAGAGCCCTTGGCAACCCTTGCTAGGGTAGGAGTAGCTGGGTCTGTGATCAGATTTCCTGCTCAGGTGAGAAGTATGTGGTTACTGGGCATCCCACAGACTGCAGGCTTGCCACCCGAATCCTAGAGGAAGAAACAGCCACTAATTCAGCATGAAGGTGGAAAAGCTGAGACTCTAACCCAGGAGCTGAAGAGCTGACATTTGCCACATGGATGCGAAATGAAATGAAGAGTGTGGGCTGGTCAATACAGGATTCAGACCTCACTTGCTGCTATCTCAGATCTCTCAAAACTTTGTGGTTCTGAGAAATCATGACAGAGTTGAATGACTTCTGCCTAACTTGTTAAGTTAAAACCTGGACTGCCATGTTAAATATGCACAACAGATTAGGTAGGACTTGCCCAACTGAAACCTGGCATCACCCTGGACTTCACCCCTGTGCAGGTAGTGACACTTCAGACTTGGTCTGTTCGGGGACATGCACAGGGAAGCAAAAAAGAATAAACTGTTTTAACAAAGGTTTGATGACTGTTCTTGCCTGTTTTTCCCCTTTGGCAGGTGGGCCTTGAGTTGGGAGTTATGACCTGTAAGTAACACCTGCATATTCAAGCAGCAAGATCATCTCACACCCCTGAAATGCTGTAATCATCTCCTGTGCAACTCCCTCTCAATTATGGGAGGAAAGTTTAGACATTTAGGGCATTGTGCAGGTTCCATTCACAAGATGTTCCGTTGCACCACATGGTGAGGCAGCTTTTGCGATGTTGTTTTGTTAGGGCTATAGTGTCTGATTTGGCTCAGAATGTCTCAGAGCACGAGCAGCCTAATATAATTATAAACTTTTATAATTATAAAAGTTCATTTTATAAGAGATGTGGTCTTGATAATTATAAACTTTGATAATATGCATTAAGTTAATTCCTGGGAAGTAACACCCAGGCTCTGCTGGGGGAAGGAGAGGGGATTTAGCTTTTGCTAAGTGGCTTTCCAACGTTTCTTAGGGGAAAAATTTGTAGCTATCAGAAAGGTCTCAAACCCAAGAAAGGGTAAGATTCTCTGGGCTAGAGGGAGCCCCATGTACAAATCAACATTGAAAAATAGGAGTGTTTCTCAGTCCTACTTCTCCCCAATATTGTTTATCAGTCCATGCCTTTCCCTCCCCATCAGGCTTATCCCATTCACTACTTTAAAGTTTCTTTATCTGAACCTTCTTTCCTAATCTCTTCTTTTTTTTGATCCTGTAAATCCAATATATATATATATTTTTTTAGATCAGTACCAGGGAGTAAACCCAAGGTCACTTAACCACTGAGCTGCATCCCCAGCCCTTTTTTGAGACAGGATCTCACTAAGTTGCTTTAGAGCCTTGCCTTAGCCTCCCAAGCCATGGGAAGTCTATTCTGAATGCTTGGGAATTTGAAAAAGTGATTTTGATTTTTGGTACTGGAGATCAAACTCAGGACACTTCATCCACACTAGGCACAGAGCATACCACTGAACCATGCCTCCCACATGGGATTTATTTTTATTTTTAAAGATGGTCTCACTAAGTTGCTGAGGCTGGCATTGCAATCCTTCTGCCTCAGCCTCCCAAACTGCTGGGATTATAGGTGTGTTACTGGTTCCTGGCTCCACATGGGACTTTTTTTTAAAATTTTTAAAATATTTTGTTGTAGTTGGACACAATACCTTTATTTGATTTTTATGTGGTGCTGAGTTGAACCCAGCACCCTTCATGTGCTAGGTGCGTGCTCTATTGCTGAGCCACAACCCCAGCGCCCTCACGTGGGACTTTTAATTTACAGATGTTCTGACCTTTTTTTTGGTCAACAATTTTAGGAAGAGGGGAAGAATACATAAATTAGGGTCCTACATATATAAGCTGTTAAAAAATCACTGAAAAATAAGCTTAAAAGCATATTATAAAAACAATATAACTTAATCTGAGGTAAGAGAAAAAGGAAACCCTACAAACATTTTCAGAAAAGCAACTCTTTGCTGCACTATACAGAAATTTACCCTTTTAACCACATCTCAATCCCCATACAATTATCCTCTTTTACCAAAGATTTGGGGCAAGAAAATTAAATGGGAATTTCTCCCATCCCTGTCACCTCTAGGTAAACATACAGAATCTTCAGAGCTCAAATTCAGCCAGGCTAAGTTACAAGAAAACTGAATCCACCCTTCATCCATCCTAGAATTGGTAGGGCCAGAGCAGTAGCTCAAGGGACTCACCTCCGGGTAAGGGAAGGTAAGGTCTGCAATCAAGTTTCCTCCTGACAAACCGCTTACCTTCTCTTCCAGTTCATTTATCCTTCTTCAGAGGTCATTTTTTAATCTCATTGAAATCCCTCTTGCCTTGTCAGTAGCAATCATCTGGCTACCCCCACCCACCACCAGTCCTCAAAGGGCCAAGGCCCACATCCCAACCTGAAATCTGTCCAGCCTGTGTCTACGCTGCTCTCCCATCTTCCTGAGCCCTGAAGTGCTCTGAAGCAGCAGTGCTTAACACTCCTGACTGCTGCAAAGACCCAAATATCCTCTCCTAGGAAAGGGAGGGGGGGGAAAGCAAAAATGAATAGTATTTGGAGAAAAGATTCTGAGTCTGTGTTCTGATTTGTGCAGCTGATTTTTTAAGCCTTTTTTCTGTTCTGGTCCTTTGTGATATTCTACACGGTGGAGCTGAACACTGGAAGCAGCTCCAGAGTGGAGTCTTGGCCAGTGGCTGCTTGCCTTCCCATCAGCCTGAGGGCTGGGCTGAACTAAGAAGGCATCTTGCCAAAGCACTGCAGTTCCCCAGCTCTGCTGATTATGCCCAACTCTGGTCCTTGAGAGGCCTGTGTCATAGTCCCAGAAATGAGAAATAAAGGTGAGAAATCCAAAGGGTGAGTTGAGCTTCATTCTCTCTGGACAGCGAGGGCCAGGAGCTCAGGCTTCTTGTTCTGCAGAGGTGACTTGAGTACTGACAGGGCTTTCCTGGCAACCCTGGGCTAGTGCTATCTGTGTAGTCTGCCACTACAGGTAGCCTCAGCTTCTTCTCATCTCAGGTTGCTAACAGTTAAGGAGGAGCAGCCACAGCATTTCTGGAGCATCCTGGGCCTGCATCTCAGCAGCACCATCTCACTGGTGTGGTGCTAACTACCAAGGAAGGAAGCTAGCCTGGCCACAACCAGTGGTTGCTGCTTAATGAAGGAGCTCAGGAGATGAGGCGGGAAGCCTGGTGCACCCAGTTCTACCTGAAAGCAGAAAGGGAAGAGATGAAGGTACAAACAGCTGGAGGTGCCAGGGCCACTCTAGCCCCAAGCACCTGGGATGAGGTGATGGGAGATTCACCCCAGACTCCACTGGCTTGGTGTCTAAGACCCCTGGGCTCTGCTCTTCACCTCCCACTGATTGGTTCAGTTCCACTCCCATTTGGACTTGAACTCTATCTATGAACAATGATTTTGCTCTGCTGAGGCTGCTGCTTTTACCTTGCAATGATATGTCTTCTAAGGACCCTGGGGACAACCACAAGATGTAGGTTACTACTAGATCTCTGGTACTAGCAACTTCAGCTGATAACACTCATTCCTTCCTCTCTGATTCTCCACTGACTCCTTTACTTTGAACCCAAGAAGTTCCTGGCCACATATTTTTAGAACACAGCTAGACAGAGAGGTCCCATATGTTACAAGACTGGCTACTAGCTCTATATCACCTGGGCCAAGTAAATGACTCTGGTAATTTCTTTCCCTTCCATGGTGACAGGCTGCAGGATCCAGGCACTGGGCAGTATCTCCCCTCGGACCATTTTTCTGTTGGGTCTTGGCATGGATGTGTCATACACAGACTGAACTGCCATGATAGACAGGTGCCCCTGCAGACAGAGATGTTATGTAATGAGGAAAAAACAGGAACAGGCTCAAGTGTAATTAGTATAGTAGAAGTCAACACTGGGCTTGCCTTGAAGCCACCCATGTCCTAGACCCAGCCGCAATTTGCCCTCATCCCCACCAGAGAAACCAATTCCCATAGATTACCACAAGCAAGGCAGGCACCTCTTTGGCTTCCACACAGACACAACAGAAATCCCGTGGTTGCTTCAGTGCACACACGGTGGTATCGCACACCAAGTACACTGGAGGGGTGGAGGTAAAGCAGAGTCAGGAGGCCCATTGACAGATCTAGTCCCAAGTCTTCTTTAGCCTAGGAACCTCCCCTTCATCCTATGACTTGACATCCAATGAAATCTTGAATAAACAATCTGGAAGTAGGCTGAGTATCTGGTCTCTCAACAAGGCTGCCTCCAACCCTCTGCCTCTGTCCCCTGGCCAGAGATCATGGGACACACCAGAAACCAGGCCCCATGGGAGCCTCCCTCCCTTGGACTCACCTAGGCTGATGCTCTTGTTCACCCGCTGATGTAGCCTTGCTGTCTGAATGGGCTTATGATACAGGGGCCACAGGGTAGGGTCACTCACAGCTGCCCATACATGAGATAGTGGCTGGGACACCACACCTGCCCCTAGGAAGCCATGCCGAGTAGAAGAAAACTCCTTATAGTAAAGGTGCACCTCCTGCTCTTCACCCTGATAGCTAAGGGACACCAAGGATTGGAAAGAGGAAGAATTAAGAGTTTTTTTTTTTTTTTTAAGAGGGTTCCTAAGATACAAAGGAGGAAATCAGGTTAAGAGACTCCAGGAAGGCAGGGTGGAGAAGGGGAAGGAGAAGAGAAGCCAAGCAGGACAACAGGGTTAGGATCAAGAACACTGCAAAGAAACTTACTTCCAGCCAGCTGTTGCCTGGCGGCTGAAGAGATTGTATAGATTATTGGAACAAGCAGCCATTACCTGGGGACAGAGCGGCCATAAACAAATTAGTAGGCACAGTATATCCCAGCCTCTAGGTTCAACTTTCTGATCAGTGTTTAATAAATATACATTTTTCAAGATGGAAAACCACTGAAGAAGTCTACAAGCCTTGGTGGCCCTCATTTGCCCAGCTCTTTTCCTCTTCCTCCCCACCCAGCAGAGGTCTGGCTAAAGCAGTGATGGGGAAGAGTGGGAGCAAATACTCACATCAGCCATGGAAGTATCTACCATGTGTTTGGCCAAATCCTGGTAAGAAGAGGAGAAGCTGGATGGGCTGGATGGAAAACAGCGGCAATTGCCTGAGGAGGTTCTATAGCCTACAATAAAGAGGTGGAGGTTCTGGGATAGCACTAAATGTCAGGGCCTCATGACAGCAACAGCTCCCTATCAGGGGTAGGGACACTGGACTGACAGTTTCTGGCCAGTGACTCCCTATGATACAGTAGGCATAAATAAGTCCCCAAACCAGGCAGATATCTATGCCCCACCCTCCCTGCCACTCACAGTGAGCTGAATTCTTCCAGACAGATCCAGCCAGATACAGGTTCCTCACTGCAGAATGGGCCTGCCCATCCCCTATCCAGGTGTCTCTGGAATCAGGCAAGTTTGAGTCCCCCTGAAGAACAGAGGTCATGCCAAAATAAATCCTTTATGCTTTATGGA